TTCATGAAGGAGTAATCTTTCAATAATTTAAAAATAAGAACAGAACCTGGTGTATCTCTGAATGCAATGTACTGTAGCATTTAGAGTAATATGTCAGATAAATAGTGTTAAGAAACCCAAGCCTGAAGACTGTTCTTGATCTTGCTTTGTCCTCGACCAGCCTGTCTTGAACCATGTGGAGACAAACACGTGCACAGAAAAAGAATAGTTAGTCCAGGATGTTGGCTGATTCACATACAGAGCCATTGAATATGGATACATTGGAGAAGACATGCTGGCAGTTAGTATGGCTGCACTACAGAAATTCACCAAAAATCCACAGATAGCACCTTCCAAACCCACGACCACTTCCATCTAGAAGGACAAGGGCAGCAGACATATGGGAACACTACCACCTCCAGATTCCCCTTTAAGACACTCATCATCCTGACTTGGAAATATATCGCCATTCCTTCACTGTCCCCGGATCAAAATCCTGGAATTCCCTCCCTAATGGCATTGTGGGTCAACCCACAGCAGGTGGACTGCAGCGGTTCAAGAAGGCAGCTCACCACCACCTTCTCAAAGGCAACGAGGGATGGGCAAGAAATGCTGGCCGGGCTGCAACGCACGCGTCCCACAGATGAATAAAAACAAATTATTTCCATGTCTCATGGTGTGATGCCATAGAGTGAAATGGCAATATAATTGCATCCCTGCAGCCTGGTTCTGCCTCACCCTTTGTCCTTTTCTTAATCAGAAGTCATACGACATCAGGTTATAGTCCAAAGGGTTTATCTGAAATCACAAGCTTTTGTAGCATAGCCCCTTCATCAGGTAAAGCCTGTCTACCCCAGCACCTCCACTTCACCTTCTCTTAATGCTAGTGGTTGCAACATTCAGTGCAGTTACAGCCCAGAGTAACCAGGCAGCTAACTGAGATCAAAAGCTGCAATGTATGGGGAGAATCTCTTGGTGCAGTTAGTTGCATTTAGTGGTACAAACCCTGTCTTGGCATAACCTTTGAACGCACAGCCCATTTAGTGTCCTCTCTTACAACTTGTAGTTCTGTTAACTTGCAGAAGATCAGAGACCTAACATAGCTTTATCTACAGCACTCGTCAGCGACAAATGCTGTCAGAACAATACGTTGTGCAACTCCTGCTGTTTATGTGTTCTGCTCCGATAGCATTGTACTCAGATGACAAAACCTGTTATTACAGATACCATGGAAACCTAATGCCCCAGTGCTTGCAGATAACAAAATTCATCCTGACCTCTCCACTGTCTGACCACCAATGCCCATCATGGGAATGTGTAATTTAAAATGTTCATCAAACAATAACGGTAGACAGGAAATAAAAGACCAGAGTACTCTAGACTGAGCCAGGGCTGAATTGTAGGTGTGAGAAAAATGTTCCCAATAAATTAGTTGAAAGACCTCTGTTGTAGTGTCTCACTGCAATAACAATAAGCTCTGGAGATTAGTCATAGAAAAGGCAGAGATATAGGACTGTGCACAGACTCAGGGACAAGGGTGCACACCCAGTTCACTTTAAAGGATTCTGAGCTGAGACTCAGGCTGAATATAGGATGACAGGACTGAACTACTGGGTTAAACTGGCCTAAACTAGTGTTTGTGCTTCTTCCTACTTGAATTGATCACATTTTATTGGTCTTCCATTCATTTCTCCCTTCATTTACTTCTCTGGCTTCCCCTTAATTACTTCCATGTTATTTGCTTCAACAACACCTTGTGGCTGTTTTATATTTTAAACTCTTCAGAGGTATGTAGAGATGACACTAATTTCAATATGTGTAACATCCCATACAAGAATTATAAAAACGCACTTCCAGGGTAAGTATTCAGGTAATTTCCACTCAGTATCAGAAACATTTTCATGGAGGGTCCATGCAGCTAACATCAGCTGATCACAAATTTAAACTTCCCGCATGTAAACTTCCACAGAGTCCTGATACACACCACTCAATTTAGATCCAATCCTTAGATACTGAGAGATGTGGACATTTATTATACCAGACCTAGTCCCAGCATCCAGGGTAACAGCATTCCTCTCTATCTCTACTGGAGCTGTTAATGGCCCTTTGCCAAATTCGCTTCATCATACAACTTCAACATAGAATAGATGTGTCCATTCTCACCCATCACTAGCCTTTGTCCTGTATCCAATTAGAGGATTGTGTTTTTATTTGTACTGTGTTTCCTCTGATTTGTGATTGTCACATTTAATGGTTTGTGTAGTTACGTTTTGCCTGTTAATCTTTCCATGCACTTGTACATTCCCTGTCAATGGTTTGCTGTCTTTGAACAGTGACTGATTCGAGCCAACTCAGGTGAGTTTTTCTAAATTGACAGCATGGTTTTTGCTTGCCTTCTTATTTTACGGATTTCTTCATGATTTCCCATTCACAGCTGGATCCTGCCTACACAAGCCAACAACCCCCCCGCCCAGCCACGGTAGATCAGCTTCTCATTGCCCCTTTGTTATTTCATGTATCAGTGCGTGGTCTCTGCCTCTTGAAACATCAAGCCTTGGACCTACATTTACACTCTTTGTTTAAACTGATGTGAATTCACTCTCTAGGACTCTAATGAAACAGACTTGCAAACTTTCAAATAATTTCCCACTAGTAGTTACAATTTAACAATAAACGTTTTAACTGTGTCACATAAACAGAGGTGGATTCTGCCTACCTTTGATCTCAATGAGTGAGAATTCATCTCTCTGCCACTGTCACCATCATTCATTTTACCTGTTACCACTTTCATATTATCATACAACTTACTGCTGGGTCTGTCTGGGGTACTCAAATGTGCACTCCACATCAAATCTCACAGTCCCCCCTTCTCAAGTGCGTCTATTGAATTCAGCAAAATAGCCACTACCTGCCTGTTATTTGCAAATTGTCTACAGGAGGCACTTTGAAGGTATTCATGATGAGATACGACTCAAAATGTTCTATGTAGTAAACCCAGTCATCATTATCATCATCATTTGCTGGAAGTGAAGTTAAATCTTGACAGATTTGTACTGGCTTCAAACCCACTGTGCTGTGCATTTTACTCAATTTATTTTTGTTTATTTTGAATCCCATTTATTACCAATATGTTGGATTTCCAAGAAGAACACTGAACATAAATTGCAGGCGACTTCAAAGACAGTTTACTAAGAAGAAAAAGAATAAACACAACCTTCACCTACCAACTCACACACCAAAAACACCCCACACCCTCCCCCACAACCCAAGCAGAACAAACATTGCCCACCATTTTCATATTCTGCTGCACTCTTAAAACATTACCTACATGCACAAGAGTCATCTGTATTCTTCTCCAAAGGGATCCATTCCCAATATCAGCCATCCTCTCCTTAATATACTTGAAAAATAACCTTTTAGCCTTAATATTATTTGCATTTGTTTCTGGTATTCACTTTTGCAGCTCTTCCCATCATTTCTGTATCCCTTTCATGGTCTTTCTACCTCTTCCAGTCTATGTGGTATCAACATTCTTTACATCCAGTTCTGAAACAGAATTTGAAACATTAACTCTGTTCCTCTCTCCCCAAATATTGCCCATCACACCTGTTGAGTTTCTCCAGCATTCTCTGTTTTTGATTGCTTCAGATCGCTACCATCCACTGTTGTTTGTTTTATTCAGAGTCATATCGGCTTCTTTTCAGCTTCATTACATCTCTCACTTCTTTTATTCACAAAGATTGTTTAATTATACAAAGGTATACAAAGGTATCTAAAGGTATAAGCTCTTAAAGCTTAAAATACAGTGGTATTTTATATATTTAATTTAGTTTTATTTAATATATTTTGCACACTTCCATTTGTTTTTCTATAGTTTTACCCACTAACAGTTCATCACAGTTTAGTAAGGTGAGTTTCCATCTCAAACCCGCTATAGGAAAGATGTTGTTAAACTTGAAAGGGTGAAGAAAAAATTTACAAGGATGTTACCAGGGTTGGAGGGTTTGAGCTATAGGGAGAGGCTGAATAGGCTGGGGCTATTTTCCCTGGAGTGTTGAAGGTTGAGGGGTGACCTTATAGAGGTTTATTAAGTCATTAGGGGCATGGATAGGGTGAATAGCCAAGGTCTTTTTCCCAGGGCATGAGAGTCCAAAACTAGAGGGCACAGGTTTAAGGTGAGAAGGAAAAGATATAAAAGGCACCTAAGAAGCAAATTTTTCATGCAGAATGTGGTGCTTATATAGAATGAGGAATAGATAGAGGCTGGTACAATTACAACATTTAAAAGGCATCTGGACGGGTACATGAATAGGAAGTGTTTAGAGGGATATGGGCCAAATGCTGGCAAATGGGCCTAGATTGATTTAGGATATCTGGTCGACATGGATGAGTTGGAGATGAAGGGTTTGTTTCCATGCTGTACAGCTCTATGACTCCACAAATCTTCAGAAATCAGACTTATTTAAAATTAAAATCCTTCTTCTTCTCAAGTCAAATATCAAATTCAACTATGTCATTGTAAGCTAACTGTTCACTTGCCGTTAGATTGTTGACTAATTCTCGCTCATTATTCATCACTAAACCTAGTATTGCCTGTCTTCCTTTTGTAAAAAGAACATAATGTTCCAGAGAAATGCCCTAAACGCATTCAGGAAAATTGCACCCTTTTGTCTGTTCTGTGTCTTGTGTATGACCGATATCTCCCATTTAACTACTTTGCAAAAGGTTTCCTACTTATACAGCCCACGACTTTTTCATATTCTGTGGTGAGCAAGTCAGAGAAGGAATATAACACAGGTGCATTTTTTATTTTTAGCAATTACAAGGGTTTCTCTGAAGCATATTCTGTGATGTTCGTCAGTGACAGAACACACTTCTGAATATTACAGGAACATGCAATCATAAAAGAGAGCTGGTGTCTAATTAATCATTCAATCCTAACTTTCAAAAATTACGTTTTTGTTATTCACTTGTGGGACATGATAAGACATTTTAGGAAATACCTTTAATGTGTTCCTCAGGCATTGATGATCCATCCAGACTGTGAGCTGATGTTGGAGATCCAACTGGCTGAGGAGATATGTCAGTCTGAACGAGCAAGAGTCCAGACAGACTGGGAACCTGGTGAGTTAACTGCATGAGCTGCAAGTAGAACCTGACACATGGTGGGGTCAGGTTCCTTGAAGCACCTCCCGCGTTGTCAGAGGAAGTTGCAATGTGGAAGCAGAATACGTTCTGAGGATTTCAGTCCCTAGGGCTGTTAGTGCATATACACACACACGCAGACACGCACACACACAAACGCACACACACAGACATACACACACATATACGCAGACACCCACACAGACACACCCAGGCATACATACACACACACCCGGGTGCACGCGCACACACACATGCACAGACACACACACACAGACATGCACACACATGTACACAGACACACCCAGGCACGCACACACACACACCCACGTGCACGCACAGACACACACACACATGCACAGACACACACACACATGCACAGACACACACACACACAGACAGCCGCCAACCCCCCACACCACCACCCCACCCCCAAACTGGGTGGAGCAGCTTCCCAGCACATAGATTAATTTTAAATGTTTGCAATGCCATTTTCTCTCAAAGTAATTCACTCATTGATGGCACATCATGGACTAGATCCTGATTTTCTTCGATAGTTTGAAATGCGAATAATGATTGGCCAACCAATTTTACATCTCTCCAATTTATATTTTCAGCGATTTCATGAAACCTGGGTGAATTGTCAAATGGCTGGAAACAGTTTTCCTGTTACGCAGAGTCATAATTAATCTCTTATCTCCACAAAGTAAAACTCTGAACAAAAACTCAATGTAGGTAAGGCCGTAACTGATGGGGCAGTTTGGGTCACTGCCTTGATTTCTCACTGAAATGGGATTGATCAGCATTATTGCAATATCATATTTATTTTGGTGGTACCTCCCAAACCTGACATTCTGTCACCACAAAGGACAATGGCAGCAGGTGCATGAGTTCCAGTGCAAGTCACACACATCCCTTTGTGGTCCTGTATCACTGTTTCTTCATGGTTAATGGGTCTAGAACTCTCTGTAAATGTACCAATCACTGTACCACCATCTGAAGAGCATCTAGGGATGTGCAATCAATAGAGACCTCAGCGCTGGTACCGACAGTGTTCTCCTCAGACTTAGAACATAGAACATAGAACATTACAGCGCAGTACAGGCCCTTCGGCCCTCGATGTTGCGCCGACCTGTGAAACCAATCTGAAGCCCATCTAACCTAAACTATTCCATTATCATCCATATGTTTATCCAATGACCATTTAAATGCCCTTAAAGTGGGCGAGTCTACTATTTTTGCAGGCAGGGCATTCCACGCCCTTACTACTCTCTGAGTAAAGAACCTACCTCTGACATCTGTCCTATATCTATCACCCCTCAATTTAAAGCTATGTCCCCTCGTGCTAGCCATCACCATCCGAGGAAAAAGGCTCCCACTGTCCACCCTATCTAATCCTCTGATGATCTTGTATGTCTCTATCAAGTCACCTCTTAACCTTCTTCTCTCTAACGAAAACAGCCTCAAAACCCTCAGCCTTTCCTCATAAGACCTTCCCTCCATACCAGGCAACATCCTGGTAAATCTCCTCTGCACCCTTTCCAATGCTTCCACATCCTTCCTATAATGCGGTGACCAGAACTGTACGCTATACTCCAAGTGCGGCTGCACCAGAGTTTTGTACAGCTGCAACATGACCTCATGCTCCGAAACTCAATCCCTCTACCAATAAAACCTAACATACTGTACGCCTTCTTAACAACGCTATCAACCTAGGTGGCAACTTTCAGTGATCTATGCACATGGACACCGAGATCTTTCTGCTCATCCACACTACCAAGAATCTTACCATTAGCCCAGTACTCTGTGTTCCTGTTACTCCTTCCAAAGTGAATCACCTCACACTTTTCCGCATTAAACTCCATTTGCCACCTCTCAGCCCAGCTCTGCAGCTTATCTATGTCCCTCTGTAACCTACAACATCCTTCTGCACTATCCACAGCTCCACCGACTTTGGTGTCATCCGCAAATTTACTAACCCATCCTTCTACGCCCTCATCCAGGTCATTTATAAAAATGACAAACAGCAGTGGCCCCAAAACAGATCCTTGAGGTACACCACTAGTAACTGAACTCCAGGATGAACATTTCCCATCAACCACCACCCTCTGTCTTCTTACAGCTAGCCAATTTCTGATCCAAACCGCTAAATCACCCTCAATCCCATGCCTCCGTATTTTCCTTCGCAGTTTGAGTTTGTTGCTGGTCATTAACGTATTCATTTTTGTCTCCTTCCTCAGGATGTGACTTCATGTGGGACAATGTATCCTGCTGGCCAGCCGCAGTTATTGGTGTCACTGTGGTACTTCCTTGCCCCAAGCTTCTGTTGCCATATGGGGACAAACCAGGTAAATCACTGGGTCCAGGTCTTTGGAGATTGCTCTCTCTATCATATCACTCCACTCCAGTGTCTCACTCCAGGGATCAGAGCACAAAAATCCAGGGTGATGATCCATTGCAGTACTGAAGGAGCACTGCACTGTCACAGGGCTAACCTTTGAATGAAATTTTGAAGATGGACTTCCCTGCTTTGGATCAGGAGATGCTGACAGTGTCTTCCCAAGTTCAGAAAGCCAGCCTGCAAATGCACAATTTCCAGAGTTGGGCTGGAGTAAGGGCTGACACTTCCTGAAATAGTGTCATGGTGAGAATGAAGGTGAGCACATACAGAGACCACCGCTTCCTATATCTAAACTAACTGCTGCATTTCCTATAACTTCCTACAGTACAAAAAGTATTCAATTGCTGTAAAGTGCCATGGGATGCCTGGCAGTAAGAAAAGGTACAATATAAATATAAATCATTATTCCCTTTCTTCTGTGTTTAATAATTTTCTCTCATTAACAATCCAGTAATAATTTTGCAGAACAGTTGACATAGTGAGTGTAAACTGATAACAATTAATTCTGAGCGTGTTCCAGGAACTGAGTGAGCCAGACAAATATTAGAATATAAGAAAGAGTGAGTGAGATGAGGTGCACGCTTGTAAAGACATTCTGTTTCCGCATACTCTCCCCTTTCACAGCCCTCTTGGCCACCACTGCCTGATAATTGTCAATACCATTTCTCCACCCCCACCCACCTAACTGACCACTACAGACACAGGCTATTTATGTGCCTACCTGTCCTCCATTGCCAGCTCAATCTGGGCACTAGCTGCAGTCCCTACAGTAGGAACCACTCGGAGGCTACAGCTTCAGGCAATTCAACCAGAAACTCAGCTGGATCCATCATACAAACATAGTGGCTACAAGAGCAGATCAGTAGCTAGGAATATTGCAGCAAGTAAACTCACCTCCTGACTCCCCAAAGCCTGTCCACCATCTACAAGGCACAAGTCAGCAATCTGATGGAATACTCCCCTCTTACCTGGATGAGTGCAGCCCCAACAACACTCAAGAAGGTAGGCACCATCCAGGATAAAGCAGCCCGCCTGGTTGGCACCACATTCGCAAGAATCCACTCCCTCCACCACCGACACTCAGTAGCAACAGTGTGTACTATCTACAAGATGCACTGCAGAAATTCACCAAAGATCCTGAGACAGCACCTTCTAAATCCACAACCACTTCCATCTGGAAGAACAGGGCAGCAGATATATGGGAACACCACCACCTTCAAGTTCCCTTCCAAGTCACTTACCATCCTGACTTGGAAATACATCTCAGTTCCTTCACTGTCGCTGGGTCAAAATCCTGGAATTCCCTCCCTAATGGCATTGTGAGTCAACCCACAGCCAGAGGACTACAGCAGTTCAAGAAGGCAGCTCACCACCACCTTCTCAAGGTCAACTAGGACAGGTAATAAATGCTGGCCAGCCAGCGACGCCTAGATCCCACAAATGAATAAATAAAACAAAATTAGCTATCAGAACTGCAGAAAATGGAACATGGCTTCCTATGCAGAAGGAGATATCCTACTCTGTCATTGAAATTCTGCCTCCATGTTAAATCCCAACCACAATTTTTAAAAAAACTGAGAACACATGAATTATTTATCTGTCGCAGTTCAGCATCTCCTCTGCCACAATCCTTTCATGATGACAAACAGGAATATTTCACAGACCGAGACACAAAAGGATCATTATTGCTTCTTTAGTGCGCTTTTGGACCAGATCACTTCCAATGCATTCTGCCTAGCTTCATTACACAAATGCGTAATTCTGTCCTGGGGATTTGTAAATGAGCTGATTCTGACAGCTTGCTGTGGCATTTATTTCTGGGATTCGTTTTATTATCTCACGTGATGATGTTTACACAAACTCTTCCTCTAAGCATTGCTTTGGTAGGATTTTCACATGGAGCTGTTGAAGTAAAGTCAGTTGTAGAAACCACTTGTTAAGGCTTGAAGCTCAATTTGGGATCTGGAACCTGGATAATTTCCAGGTCACTTCCTGGCACTAACCGGAAGTTTAATTACCCTAACTGGGCCAGGGATGCAACCAGGAGGTAGGATCAGCTGTAGAGCTTGAGCAATGAAGGCAAATAGCAGCCATGACAGTGCAATGGTGCTGCCATGGAAACGAGAGGCTTTTGGATTAGAAAGCCAGCAGTTTGATCACACGCAGAAGTAATCCAGTGAGAGATACCTCTTGTGTAATAAACTCATCTCTCATTTTTCTAAACTCCAATGCCAGTACAACTTTCCTTAGATAAGGGGACCAAAGCTGTTCACAGTATTCTATGAGGTTTAACAAGTGCCTATTCTCATACACTCCTTTTCCTTTGAAATAAAGGCCAACATTCCATTTGCCTTCCCTATGCTTTCTGGGCTTGTATGCTTGCATTTTGTAATTTATATACGAGGTTTGTATTCGACAATGTTCCACATGGTAGCCTGGTTAGTAAGGTTAGAGCACATGGGATCCACGAGCTAGCCAAGCGGATACAAAATTGGCTTGAAGATAGGAGACAGAGGGTGGTAGCAAAGGGTAGTTTTTCAGACTGGAAGCCTATGACCAGTGCTGAGTCCATTGCATTTTGCCATTTATATCAATGATTTGGATGTGAATATAGGAGGCATGGTCCGTAAGTTTGCAGGTGACACCAAAATAGGTGGTGTGGAGGAGAGTGAAGAAGATTATCTGAGTACAATGGGAAGTTGATCAGATGGTCCAATGGGCCAAGGAGTGGCAGATGAAGTTTAATTGAGATAAATGTGAGGTGTTGCATTTTGGTAAGACAGTTAATGGTAGGGTCCTGGAGAGTTTTGCTGAACAACAAGTGCAGGGACATAGTTCCTTGAAAGCATAGTCGCAGATGGGCTGGGTGGGTAAGAAGGCATTTGGAATGCTTGCCTTCATTGATCAGTGCATAGAGTATAGGAGTTAGGACATCATGTTATCACTGTACAGTTCTGGTCACACTTCTATAGGAAGGATGTTGTTAATCTTGAGAGGGTACAGAAAAGATTTACAAGGATGTTGCTGGGACTGAAGGGCTTGAGTTTTAAGGAGAGGCTGAATAGGCTGGAGCTTTTTTACTTGGAGTGTTGGGAGCTGAAGCGTGAGTTTATAGAGGTTTACAAAATCATGTGGAGCATACGTAGGGTGAATAGCCAAGGTCTTTTCTCAAGGGTGGAGAAGTCCAAAATTAGAGGGCATAGGTTTAAGGTGAGGGGAAATATTTAAAAAGATCCTCAGGGGTAACATTTTCACACAGAGCATGGTGCGTGTATAGAATGGGCTGCAGAGGAAGTGGTGGAGGTGGGTACAATTACAACATTTAAAAGGCATCAGGATGGGTATATGAATAGAGGGTTTAGAGGGATATGGGCCAAATCCTGGCAAATGGAATTCGGTCAGATTGGGACGGCTGGTTGTTGTGGACGAGTTAGACCGAAAGGCCCGTTTCGGTGCTGTGTGACTCTGTGACCCCCCCAAATCTTTATGTGTGTAGCTTTGTGCAGTCCTTTTTCCATTTAAATCATATTAAGCTCCTGTATTCCTCTTGCCAAAGTGCATAACCTCAAAATTTCTCACATTATATTCCATCTGCAAAGTTCTTGCCCACCCATGTAACATGTCCATATCCCTCTGCAGATTCTTTATGTCAACGCTATTACTTGCCTTTCCGAATATTTTTGTGACGTCCACAAATTTAGTGATTGTATATTCATTTCCCTCATCCAGTCCATGAATGTATATTGTAAACAATTGTAGGCCCAGCACTAATCCCTGTTACACTTCACTTCTTACAGGTTGCAATCCAGGAAAAGTTCCCTGTTTCCCAACTGTCTGTCTTCTATTGGTTAACCAGTCCTCCATCTATAATAATATACAATCCTCACACCATGGGCTCTATTCTTACTAAGTAGTCTAATGTGTGGTACTTAATTGAATGCCCTTTGGAAATCCATATCCACTGCTTTTCATTTAACTATCCCACTTGTTATCTCATAAAGAACTCCAACAAACTTGTCAAGAATGATTTCTCCTTCATGAAGCCATGCTGACTCAGCTTTATTATAGAACGTGTTTCTAAATATTCTCCAATTACCTCCCTTGTGATAAAGGGTTGGTTAGCTCAGTTGGCTGTAGAGCTGGTTTGTAATGCAGAGTGATGCCAACAGCACTTCCTGCACTGGCTGAGGTTACCATGAGGAGTCTCTTTCTCAACCTCTTCCCCCACCTGAGACATGGTGACCATCAGTTATCTGTCTTCAATGAGAAAGTAGGACTGTAGCAATTTTACCTTTATCATAGATTCTAACATTTTCCCAACAACAGATGTTAAGCTAATTGGCCTGCAATTACATGGTTTTTTTTGTCTCCTTCCCTTTTTAAATAGCAGTTTTCAAATCCTCTGGGACTCTTCCGGAACTTTAGGATTCTTGCAATATTACCATCATTGCATCCATGGTCTCCTAAGTTTTATTTCTTTTAAAATCCTAGGATGCAGCCCATCAGTTCCAAGGGAGTTGTCAGTCTTCAGCAGCATCAGTTTTTCTAGCACCTTTTTTCCTAAAGATAGTTATTGTATTTATTTCCTCCCTTCAACTGGCCAACAAACTGCCAGGTCATGGAACCACAGGTCAAAGAAGCATCAGATGCAGAATGACCAGTCTGGAGGTAACTGGTAGAAGATTTCATTGGACAAATTCCGAAGAAGACAGAATCCACTAAGATTATTGATGTGGCATGAAAGAATCATTTTGTGTTGTCAGCAGGATAGAAAGCTGTGACTATATATGGTTGGCAAAAATGTTTTCCATTCCTTTTATCACTGACAAAAGCTGGGACGTACCCTCCGAAGAGCAACCCACCGAGACCCATCCCCATCCCCTATCATAACCCTGTATTTCCCACGGCTAATCCACCTAGCCTGCATATCCATGGACACTGCGGGGC